AACGACCGTAATCAATTACGTAGAATATGATATAATATTTAATCATGAAAATTTCCTAGTTGGTCTATGCAAAGCTAGACATGCATCGATGCTAACTTTTTATTCCAACCGTCAGGCAAAAGAAACGCATGAATAAAGTAACCACAAGAAGAAGAGAATTAATTAAGAACTACAACTGGCTTTAATTGAGCATTAATTATTCTATTTTCTTTTTATCTTTCTCTCTTGTTTTAATAAGGTGAATTGATTCTATATTCGTGTGTTCATACTCACGGTCACATAACCATTCTATAAATTATAAGCATTGACTGTCAAGCTTTCATTCCATACACATATCCGAGTGATCCGTTTTCTAAGAAAGAACGTTTCAGTTTAATATATTATATAAAGTAATAAACATAGATTTTATCTCAATTTCATCAATTCTCTAGCAAAAAAAATCTCTATGGTATATGAATGTCAAATAAAGATTTAAAACCTATTCTAGAAGGTTATTTCAACATTACTATATAAAACATATATCTACAATTATATTAGTGAGACGGTTCCTATAATGTAATATGTATTAAGTAAAAAACATAATACGATAGTCATTGAACGTAAATCGTAACGTTGTCGTTAAAAATATGTAACAGAGTTTTAGATGACTATTTCTAGATGTTCAATAACTTCTTGTGATATTACCGTTTTCACAAATTTTATGTGTTTCTTGAGAAGCCTATATAATATGGGCATGTTCATTAACTTCTGTGATATTACCGTTTTTACAAATTTTATGTGTTTCTTGATGAGCCTATATAGTATGGACAATTTTTACGGTGAAGCGGGCTTTTTGGCTACACCGATGCGGCCACTACAATACCCTTTGATTACGCATTCCATTGGTTTATAAAAAGGACTCACCATACATATAATACACGGGCATTTACTATAGCATTCTCTTAGAAAACAATTTACATCTATTATATACTTAAATAAAAAAAATATTATATATATATATACTCTTTTTGTAGACGGGGAAACACTGTATTCTCGGTTGGCTTTTAATCTTTAACAAAAGTAAGAGCCACGTGCAAAGCTGCATGTTCACTGTTCACACTTCCGCACTACAAATGTGTCCGTACGGACTTAAATTTATGCCAAATGCGCCTTTTAACGTAACGTTATGGAGTATATGTATCAAATGATACAGGATGAAAAAAATCGGGAGAGAACGTCTAGCCACCAGCAACAGTTCAAAGATAATTAAAAAAAAAAAAGAAAAAGAAAACGTTGAACTATAACCAACATTTAAAATCTAAAGAAAACCGAAAGTAACAAGATGAAGGTATGTAGTATAATGCTAGGTGTTGCCAAGAATAAAAGAATAAAAATGTCTTAAACCAGCAAAAAAATCAGTAATGTCTTGAAATCTTGAACCGTATATACTCACATGTAACGTATGGCATGTGCGTTTAGTTGGTATATCTATGCTATGATTCGAATCATAGTTCGTAATTCGTTATAGTATTTTCTCACACAAAAAACACACATAAATTGAAGATGATTCTGAATCATAATTCTGAATCTTTCAGTACACGGTCAATTCAACTTTAACACGTAAATGGAAGTTATTTAACATAATATTAATGTTGGAGAGGTGTATTACAATTTTGCATGATTAAACTTATTGATGTACAATCTCTCCAACATTACATTATAATTATCACGTTATGTCTTTTACTTTTGCATATTACATCAACTGTAAATAAAATTTAAACATATATATAATATCTAATCACAAAGTTTAGGACTTCATTACTTTTTGTTTTTTATTGACTACGATTTATAAGATTGACATGTAAAAGTGCTTGGGTCCTGAATTCCGAATTACACTTTGTAAAAATACGTGATGATAAGTGGTAATAGTATTATTCTTTTCTAGCCTGCTCAGAACCTTGAATTTTCGCATATGTTCTTTAGAATAATTCAAGTCAACTTTTGATAGGCTTTATAAACTTTTCATCTTCGGGCCCTAAAAAAAAAAAAAAAAAAAAAAAAAAAAAAAAAAAAAATTCATAGAATATTTTTATTTTATTTTATTTGTTTTGCTCAACATAGAAACTCATATTGATTTCTTTTGTAAGTTCCTCATTTCCCTTCGTCAAACTCCGCAAGAGGACAAAGGAGATGAAGACAAAGTTGGTAAAGTCTTAAATGTACAATAACCCCATCCCCCCAAGTCTTCAATTTATTTTATTCAATGCATTAAAAATAAAAAATTCCCCCACTCAAAAAATACTAAAATTCGGTTCACTTCACAACTCATATTGATTTCTTTTGTAAGTTCCTCATTTCCCTTCGTCAAACTCCGCAAGAGGACAAAGGAGATGAAGACAAAGTTGGTAAAGTCTTAAATGTACAATAACCCCATCCCCCCAAGTCTTCAATTTATTTTATTCAATGCATTAAAAATAAAAAATTCCCCCACTCAAAAAATACTAAAATTCGGTTCACTTCACTAATTTAAATTTAAATTTTAAATTTTATTATAATAAAAT